AATAATATATAAATAGTAGTAATAATAATAATATGCAACAAAATAAGAGATTATATAATAGGGACATTTTTTTTTTTCGGGGGGGAAGGACAGCTTTCCAAACTCAGTTCCTCTGTAATTTTCCCATCTCCTTTGGCTCCAGTGTGTCTCGCGGAAATAGCAAAATTGCGCCAAAATCTTAAATTTTCTGCTGAGATTTAAGGGAAAATGCAAATTCTTGATTTTGCTCATCAACGTTTTGTCATACGAGTGGTATCTGTGCAGCTCCTGGCTGTGTTCACAATGTATGACACAGATCAGCTTGCTGAAGACTCTCACCATTTACAATGTTGCAGTCTAATCAATGATGATTTAGCCACAACTCCCGCTGTTGGTTCTGCCCCCTCTTTTCCTGCTGCCCAAACTGCCTGGTCCACAAATGTCTTGTTATCATTAATGAGACCAAATAATAGAGTGGGCGAAGAATAGATTTTGGCACAGCAGCATTTCAGCAGGTTATCTGGAAAATGAGAAACTCTTTATATATATAGTACATAGTACATAGCTGGCTGGTTACATGGCTGTAGTGCAAGTTTTTCCCTTTGTATCGGACTTCCATACATACCCAGGGAGGTATAATAAACATTTTCAGTGGAAAACGTATCCGTGTGACGTATCCTGTTTATGACACAATATAAATTGCATCACGTTTATTTAAAAAAAAAAGTCTCCTTCTCCCCAAAGAAAAGTTTTCTTTCATAGACAATAAATCATCGTCTACAAGTGCGCCCAACGGATCCGTCAAAACGTCCTCCTTCTTCCCGTCAAGGACCCAAAGAATCTAAAGAGAGGAAGCAGCCTTTGTGAAAGTCATTAGTTCTTATCTCTTCCAATTAAAACTGCTTTAAATTAATTAGGTTCCTTCCAATTAGTGTGAATAGTGTGCTCTTTGAATAAGGATGTGCAGTGTGTTATGGGTCTCAGAGGCAATGCCGCACGTGATGAGAAATGTGGTCTTCTGTGACTAAAGTGACAGTCATGTTTGGCCATCTTGACTTCTGGCATGCTGGGTGGTGCCATAGACAGAGCTGAGGGCAAGGAACACACAATGCCTTTAGGGAGAGCCGGATTCCTACTTTTTGCCCCCACAGGCCTACTGTCTTGTGCCCCCTCCCTTGGTTAGCTGGCCAGCCTATATTTGCTATGCAGAAATACTGCCCTGCCCTTAAATACCATCTTTGGGAAAAAGAAATGCCCCTTAATCCCTCCCAAACACCCCCCCTCCCCCACACCACCATCACCACCACCATCCACTAACAATTAAAGAGAAGACTAAGCCTGCGGTCATGTGACATTAATGTAGAATGCTGATCCATCATTAAAGTCCAAGATAGCCAACTAGTCTTGTCACTTTCCCTTGTGTTGTAACATCATGATGCTACTACTTGAAGTCTTCAGGACTTTGTCAGGAACCCTTTGATGAACTCTGTAAGGACCCCTCTGATGGACCCTGTGAGGACACCTGCAAACTTCAGGACCCTGTGAAGACCCCTTGGAATAAATCCTAAATGACCCTTCTGACTGACCCAGTTAGGACCCCTCTGAGGGACCTTGAGAGGACCCATCTGATAGACACTGTGAGGACCCTAACGATCTTCTGGAGTTCTCTGATGGAACCTGTGAGGACCCATATAATTGTCAGGACTCTGAGAAGACCCTTCCAATCTTCAGGACTCTTTGAGAACCCCTATGATGGACCCTATGAGGAACCCTCAGACAGACCATGTGAGGACTTCTCCTATTGTCCATGTAGTGACCCATCCAATGAACCCTGTGAGGACGCCCCTGATGAACCCTATGAGGACACCTCTGATGAACCCTGTGAGGACCCCCCCTGATGGACCCTGGGAGGACCCTCCCAGCCAATGGGAAGCATTCATGTCAGGCAACAATGTGTGAATTTGAAGCCCCTCACACTCAACAGTCTAGAAGGACTTGGATTCTGTACTCGGCACATCATTTGACTACTGACTTAGGAAAACTCAGGGCTTTTAGATTACTGTATTTATTTTTTATGTAACCTAGAGATCAGTTAGAGGGACATGGTGGTTTGGGGGGGTCAAAAGATCACCTTAAGGTGACTATAGATAGCAAAATGATGGCATAACATGTCCCCATCCTGTGCAATAATTGTCTTGTGAAGGAATTACATGCAAAGCGAGTGGTTACAAGGAAGTTCATTTACATGATGGATTCCCATATATCTTGGAGACTTCAGATTCTTCACAGTTCTGTCCAAATACTGCAGCCCAGCCTTGCACCCTCCCCCCCGATGGATCCCCCAGAATGTAGCACAAATAACTGTGAAGTCTATTATGAAAGCGCTTCATTATGGCCGGGGAGGGACAGAGAAACTGCTACAGGAAAATCTTGGTCGTCCAATCTTCTCCGAGACATTTAACGAAGCCCGCGAGTGGTTTGGTATTGGTTGGAGTTGACCTATGAAATTGAGGCGATAAAAGAGCTAATTTGCTGTATGAGGGAGACATTTCTGCGGATGGACTCCGTACAAGATTTAAAAAAAAAACCTCTCTCTTTCATGTCCTCTTTTTCATCTCTTAACTGCGGCTTGAGCCTTGAGAAAGCTGATAACGACAGAAACATTTAAATTGTATCCAAAAATCAGGATCTCAATGTCTGAGATGAAGGCTTGCACATCAGACATTAAAAGCTTACAGCTGAACTCATGGCAGATATGAAACAACATTAATTAATTAAGTTGTTTATTAATTGAAAAATTCAATTTATTAAAAAAATAAATAGCTTGTGTAAGTATCTTGGTATCAACCCCACGTCATCCCTTGTACAGGAGAGCTCATACAGGTAAAAGGAAGGGCAGCACTGGGAGCCAATCAGATGTTGACAGGAATAGAACAGATATTCCTGTGTTTGATTCTGGAGTAATTCAACTCATTTTAAGAGGTAGAAATTGGCTGATCATCACCAGGGTGGTATATACTGTATATAATATATTTATATATATTGTAAATGGGTAATTTTGTGTTTTGCTTCTTTGCTGTAACAGTGACCCCCTTCAAAGTGAAAAGAAGGGAAGTAGAGCTAGCTGGTCCCACATGTAGCATGGTTCAATCTTACCAATCACAATTGGTTTAAACTGACTACAATACCCTGATGGGTGGTTGCATAGTGCAGGGAGTCCTGGTTTTCTACATCTGATCAACAAGAGCTCAGCCACATGAACCCTGGCCCCATGTAGGGCTGTGACTCCCATTTTGTAGAATATTATGTTTTTTTTAAATGCAATTGCCACATTACATACAGTATACTATGGAACAAACCTATAAGATAAAGCCACATATATTTATATTTGGAACTATTACTTAAATGTAGTTCAGCATTTTTAG